TCTGGAAGTGAAAGCACCAGAAAATAAATTAAGTCATACGCAGCTGTCATCCGAACGCAAGGAAGTGAGCACAAGATGCCGAAAACCCTTAGCTGGATGCAGCGCACCAATCATGCGACTAGCCGAGTATCTCACGGCGCTTCGCGCTTGGTGATGTGAGAGCTTGGTCCAGTGAGAACCCGGCGTGCTCCGTCCCGGCTTTGTAGGGATGCGAGGTCAATGGTCTAACGACTACGGCATGCACGACTATGAGTACACCCCCCCCCCCCCGGTGTTTGCCTATCGGGATTGGGTTTTCGTCGCTTGGCAACGACGTTGTAAAACAAGCCAATTCACTTCGTGAACTCGGCAGCCAACTACCGTTCTTTATTTAACTCTGTTAGTTCTTGGCGGTAACCATAATGGTGGTCCAGTAGGTCATGTTGTGCGGGGTCGAGAAGCCTTACTCCGCGCAAGGGGGATGATCGCACCACGTCGTGTCAAAATGGTCAAGCACCCTCGAGGCAGTTACACAGTGCTTACAACTGTCTCTGGAAGTGAAAGCACCACAAAGTAAATTAATTCATACGCAGCTGTCATCCGTACGCAAGGAAGTAAGCACAAGATGCCGAACACCCTAAGCAGGCTGTAGCGCACCCTTCATGCGACTCGCCCAATATCTCACGGCGCTTCGCGCTTGGTGATGTGAGAGCCTGGTCCGGTGAGAAACCGGCGTGCTCCGTCCCGGCTTTGTAGGGATGCGAGGTCAATGGTCTAAAGACTACGGCATGCACGAATATGAGTACACCCCACCCCCCTTGGACCGATTCTCAAAGTTCGAGCGCCTGGAAGCAAAAACGGCGATGGTGTCGAAAATGGCGGCATTGGAATCGTCTCGTTGAGATCGCTACGAGGAGGTATACCGTTTGATATTTTGGCCCCCTCGCCTTCGTGAAGCAAAATCGAGTTTTTGAAAATCGGTCCAGGGGGTGCGGTGCCTTATTTCATCCCTGTGGTACGCACTGGGTACGCGAGGATGTTGAAAGCTTACCAGTTGTACCGAAGGAGCCCGAGCGTGGTCCCGATGAACGGCAGCAGGAGCATGGCCGAGAAGGTATGGTTTCCTGCAAGTAGGAGAGTGGAGGGTTTCGACAACAAGCAATGACGTGTATAGGGTAGCACCAGGCCCGCCGGGGGGATGCGGCAAGAACGGGTGTGTGCACTGCTTTTGCGTGCGTGTGTGTGTGTGTGTGCTTTCCGGGGAGAAACGCGGCAAAAATGTGACAGTCACGGCAACAACACGCCGCATACGCCAAACTCAGTCTCTTCAGATACGGACGGCCCCACAAATCGGTCGAGGACCTACGGACCCCTCCCCCCCGCACGAAGAGACACAGCAAGTGAGAGTCTCTCCTTGAAGGCGAACTTACGCGTATCTATCCCACGCCGCAGCTCGTGCATGTTGTGGGCAAGGATCGCGCAGGCGACCACGAAGGACTGCCCGGCCTCCAGCCCGTTGATGCCGGCGTAGATATTGACGGCGTTCGTGCAGAAGACGGCCAGCAGGCCCATGTACACCATGTACGCCGTGCCTAGTTGTGTGGAGCCAGGCGGCCAGGCCCGATCGATCATCAAACAAGCGAATCAGATGTAAAACCACCTTTGCCTACATGTGGGCGTTTGGGATGGAGACGGGTGTTCTGGGTGAAGAGCAGTGACTCAGACATGTCCGCTAGAACGCCGGTGGCGTCCTGAACAAAGAACAAGGGTAGGGATCCGACATTTATATCCCTCGGCTTCCTCTCGCCCACCCGACCCAGCAGGCAGGTCAAGATGAGAAACGACATTCTGATATCACACAAACCCGCACACACACACATGCGCTCGTTGCTAGTACTGAACTTGCCTAGATCGAGGAGCACCACCCCGCCCAGCTTGCCCGGCACGGTGATAGAAAACACCAACGAGACCGCCCTCCCCGCCAGCGTCAGTACGCCGTCGCCCCCTCCTCCTGCTCCGACCGCAACCAGCAGGTGATCCAAAGGCCTGAATCAGTTCGCCGCGGGAGGGGATCGTCCGCGAAGAGGTCGGCCGGCAGCGGCGAACCGGAACATATTCAGAGCCCTGGCGAAGTTGTACCGAACCGCAACATACCATACCCTGCCTACAGTTTTTCCGAGCCGCAACTTACTTCTCGTGCTGAACCGTAGCTCATAAGAACCCTGGCTCAGCTCTTACGTCCCCGGTAGCAACTGAAGTACCAAGGAAGACAAATCATTGTCATGCGTTGGATGCCAGTTTCACGTCTTCAAATCACCTGGGCACGACTACCGATGTGCTGCCGTCGTAAGCACAGAGCAGAGGAAGAGTCGCAACAGTAGGCAGCAGAAGCTTGTAGCTTCGTGTACGCGCGCGCGAGTGCGGTGTCCAGTCGAGGGAGGTTTTTGCCGGAAAGAAAGCGAAAAAACATTCGACGGGCAAAAGGGTTGTCCAATGATACCAACGAATTTATTGTTTTTTCGCGGCACCGAGGTGGGCGAGGTCAGAACAGAGTAAAGACAGGCGCAGATTGAAATCACAACAGCATCTTCAACAGCATTGTCGTATCAACACCAACAGCATCAACTGTAACTTCAACCCAAATGAGATCAAATCTGCGGCAAGCAAACACTGATACAACCACCGAGCTCTCCCACCAAGAAAGTACAACCCCTCCCTTTCAGGGGTACACGACAACCGTCAGCGCGAGCAACGAATGGGACAACAACCGACAACCACCACCCATCACCACCACAGCAACCCTGCAAAGAAGTTCAACTTGGTGTCTCACCGCCAGGGGAGGTCGAGAACGTCGTCCGTAAAGCCGAGAAAGGTCATGAAGCATATCGACAGCAGGGCTGACAGATAGTCCACCATCTGCTCAGAGAACAACGGAGGTGTGCGCAAGGTCAGCGAAACGAAAACGTCGTACAACTGCAGTACCGTGTGTATTTTGCTACTTCCTCAGTTTGTAATATCGCTCGTACTAATTTATTGATACACGCGGAGTAAAGGGGGGCCGTGAGCCCAGCGAAAAAATTAAACAACGCCACGCGTCATACGGCAGGTAAGGCAAGTAGACGGCTACAGTAGTTCGTTGGCCTCTCCCCCGCCCCCCAAGCCCTCGCCGAAGCCCCACACCCTCCCCCGCCATGCTGAACAAACCATACACTCTCGCATCTCATGACAACGTTGTGAACGGTGTTCTGTCCTGCGAAAGATGCAGCGTAACCCCGCCCTCTCTCTCTTCTAGTACCAGCAACGTGACCGTTTGCCTTCTTTCCCCACCTTGTCAGAGGAATCTCTGCCGTAGAAGAGCTGCAAAATCACCACGCAGATCAGGAACATCGTCCCCGCGATTACTCCAGTGCCTTCTGGACTGCTCCCCAGCAAAACACAAGAAACGATTCAACAAGGGACCCCGAAAGAAGTGAAGAGCGCGTACCATAAGTGTCCGACTGTTGTCATATCTGGAACAGGTGGTCTCTCTTTGACTTTATGTTTCGGGTAGTCTCTCTTTGACTGCATGAATTTTCACAAAAAACTTCAGCCCGTAGAACGCGGTGCGTCCCCAAGATGCTGTCGTCACCGTTGAATGTATGATTGCTGCGTCTAAGGATATCACGCCTAAATTCTTGACGCATAGCATCTGGGAAACGCATACACGCACCATGTGTTTGAAATGGTGTGTACACATCCTCAAGGGGATGGAATGATTATGTTCTACGGTCAAAACCGCACTTCATATTTGGATTATGTTCTACGTGGGCGCCTTGCTTATGTGCAAGGCATAGCACGAACATTCAAGTCCTTGGGGAATTTCGGACCAGCTTTTGGGAAGACTGCAACCTCCCGGATAGTAGATACTGCTGTTACGATCATCTCCACAGGTCTCACGGAACACATGATCCGTTGTCAAGCACAATATTCAACCGCTAACTAACACGTCGTGTTTTGGAAGCCCACCATGCAAAAATATCGTGGCACCCACTTGAGAAAAATTGTCGGTACGCGCGTCACAGCGTTCGAGGAAGAGCGAAAACGATACACCGTGCGTTCCACACGCCGGAACTTTCCCACAGCAGCAGCCGTGTGCATATAAATAGACTAGTCCTACGGTGGACTTTACGGGGAATGCGTGCCCCCCCGTCTCTGCAGAGCGCGGACAAGCGTGATGGCCGGGCATGGCTACTGTACCTGCTGACGATTCGATGCACCTTGACCACTTCCGCACTCAACGCTATGTTCTCTGTAGGTCAGGTGGACGATGGGATAGCCAGGGCGGAACAGCGGTGCCCGATCTACATACAGCACCTGCAGAGGAGGGTATCCAGGGACTGCTCCCATAAGTAAGAGACTGTATCGTGCACGCGGAGACCTTGATCACATATTTGCGGTCCCAACCACTCACATTTCTTTCTCGGCAGACGCGGTGCCCTTCTTGCACAGGTCCTTGCCCGTAAGCCCGCTCCTAGACAGGAACGGAGTGAAAGTCGGGAGCACGTAGGTCGTGGCCAGATACCCCAGAGTCGCCAGAGCCGCGCTAGCTTGAAGCTGCCCGCGCGCACTCGGGTCTTCGATCTGGCCGAACAGTGCTAAGGACGGAAGAATTGATGCCGTCACCAGCAGCTGGCCAGGGACGCGCCGCCTTCTGGCCATCTTTGGGGTATCTATGTGTGAGATCCTAGTAAGCGGGAGCGGTGTATCCGACAAAGAAGGCCTGGGGCGAACGCGGCGCAATTGCTGCGGACGACCGTACAACCGTTTTCCTGCAGGGTGCAGGGTCCACACCAACAGTTCTCCAGAGTGATTCGTGCCGTAAATATAAGCCAACAATTATTGCAAGCTTTGGGTGTGTGTTGGCTCCTTGGTTGGGCGTGTATTCACGGTAGGGTGCTGCTTTGCCTAGCCTCGACGGGGCCAGGGGGGGGGCAACGGGAACTGGAAAGTGTGGTGATCCCAGCGACACAGGGATGTCGGCATTTCATCCGGCGGGCCGCCATCCCGGCCAGGTGACGTGACCTGCCCGCGAGGCCTTGCAGTGTAGGGCTTGGAGCAGTGAGAGTTGGGGCTGCTGTAGGTGGCTAGGGAGCACGCCGAGAGAGACAGCTGATCAGCAGCAGTAGTTGTGTCAGTAGCGGGCGAATAAGCCATTATCCCCAGACATCGCAACAATAATGGCGTATTGGCCCGCACGGAGAAGCCGACGGCCGCAGCATCACCATCATGACAGCAGCAGCGCAACCGGGCGACGGACACGGCGTCTTACCGTGGTCTTTCTCGCGCTCTTCTCTGTACACACCACCACCGCCACTGCTCATGCCCCGTCGGCGTCCTTTTCAGCGAGCGGTAGCAGTATCTTCCAGGGTGTTGGCGACGATTCTCCCCTGGCGCGCACGATGAAGGGGGCTGCTGGATCGGCTACGATATCTGGCAGGGCAGGTACGTTTCAGGCTTGTACGGTGGACCGTACACAGCCAAGGATCGAGGGGCTCTCGTGCTTTGCCGCAGAGCACATAGCTGGTTCTTGAGTTAACCGTACCGGCAAAGTTTAGAGACCGAGGAGGCCGGCCTACTGCTGTGCGTGTTGCTGGCAGAGTTGCACTGGCTCTTTCGGCTCACTCGCGTCTTTTGGTCCCGAATCACGACAAGGCTACCGACAGGCAGCAGTCACCGACCCTACGCGTCACAGCACTTGTTTTTTTCTGCGGGGGATGTGCGTGCTAGCTCGAAAACTCCGAGTGTTGATGATTATGTACGGATACTGATCGGGTGTGGCTTGGGAAGGTCGAGTACTTGCTTTTGGGAGTGTCGAGTGTTCGCCGTTTCTCTCCGCCGGACATGCTGATCGGGTGAGGGCTTCTCAAACCAACGCGCACCCTCCAGAAATTCTGGTTACTCCCGTGCAATGCATTCGTTCGCACGCGGAAGGGCCTGTCTATCAAGGACAGCCTGGGACTCCTACTGTACGATGGCTCTATAGCCGTATAGCTGTCATGAACCAGTGACTTTTGCAGTGACGCTGACCGCTGTATCTCGGCAACTTTTGTCATTGGATCATCGGCCTTTCGATCCTGATCAATGGCTGCAGACTACCGCCTTGTTCAATCTCCTCCGGTGAACCCGTCTGCCGGTGACATGTCCACCAACCATTGCCCAGCCTCCTCTAAGGTGTCAACCCGTGCGTCGATGCCCGCCCCGTGTCTGCGCCTCTTCAGGAGGAGGGGACCCTTACACAGTGGCGGCGCCGGGGGCGGAGCCCCTCAAGCTGAGCCACGGTACGACGACGGTAGCGCTCGTGTGCGACGGCGGCGTGATAGCGGCGGTGGACTCTCGCGCTAGCATGGGCTCTTTCGTGGGCTCTCGCACGACTCAGAAGGCGAGGCTTGGAGAGGGTGGCGGTACTGACGTTGCGACTGCGATACAGTATGAAGGGAGTTTGAGGGAAGGGCCGAATGAGCTCTGAATGGTTGAAAATGTACATTATCAAACACAGAAAGACTACCCTTTCGAGGTAAAGCTACAGTCGAAGGGGGTGTGCTGAAATCTCTTATATGATTGTCGGAAAAAGTTGCGGCTGGCTGTCGTTTTTCCGCTTGTAAGTGGGGCTCGGGAAGCTGTGGACTAGATGGGTCTCTCGACAAGGTTGCTTTTCATCACACCGCCGACTCGACATGGTTTCCCAACGAGAAGTATCCGCTCGGGTGGATCATGGGTTCGGGGCAAGCGAAATATGGTTCCAAATGGGTGGGGGGGGGATTTGTACGGGGTTGCACCGGCGCATGGTCGGTTGCAGGCTTGGCGATTGCTTCGCAACCAGTGATCACGGGGGTTCCGGAGAGCACCAGTTGCGGGAGACCCCCAAGAGGTTTGTCTAGCGGGGTTGGTTCCGTTCCCGCCGCCGGTGTTGATCTTGCTTTGCTTCAGCGATGGTGGGCGTACCCGGTAGCAGCAGTTCGACACCCACAAGTCGGAGCTATCTTGTGGAAATATCGTACATTGTGGAACGAGACATTTAAAAATCACTATTGAGGGTACCCACGATGTGTTTTTCGACCCTTGCCATGCACTTGCTCCGGTGCTGTGTCCCTACAACTGGTTTTGCTCCCACTTTGTGCCTTGGAAAGCACTCTCTGACTCAAGGCTCCAAGTCGATACCAGTGTTCTTCAGCTGACAGGGTGTTTCTATCTATCGTACACAGGTCATCCCAGTGTCAGAGCATATCCTTGGCACCATGGCCGGGGGAGCGGCGGATTGCACCTTCTGGCTGCGATACTTGGGCATGCAGGTGAGGAGCTAGCTCGCTTGGCCGCTCTTTGAAGCTGCTTTAAACATGGTTTTCGTGAGTCAAAGTTATTTGAAATCGTGTTTTGTGAGCGAGAACGACGCAGCACACATTTTCTAGGAAATGTCTCGGATGCTTCTTTCGGATGATGAACGTATTTTACACTCCGAAGCCTTTCCCCACCAGCGGGACACTAGTACGTACTTTTGATATGGCCATTCACTATCTATGAAATCAGCGGAGATTAGTCGTTGGCAGTGTCTCATTTGCCAGGACTTCAGTCGCTCGCAGTAAACGGGGACAACCCCCCTCTTGCCATATTCCCCTGCTGGCTGTGCAAATGAAAACACCTACATGCTCCGTGCTGGCCTGGTAGGAATATGTAGGTTTTACAAAAGGTTGTCGCATACATGACCACGTGTACACCCCCCCCGCCCGCCATGCCGCCAACACGCACTTATCGCGTGAGTCCCCATCTCGCAATTAGGCCAAGGTTTTCGAAGATCGAAATGGGTTCCAAATGCCCGTCGCCACAGCAGCGCGGGTGCTCGCGGACGCTCTCCTGGGCCAGAGAGGGAAGGGGCTATCGGTGGGCACGATGATCATGGGACACGACAGGGGCAACAGAAACAGGAGCGGCAGAAGAAGCGCCAGCGGCGGAAATCAAGGCGCAGGGCAGCTGTACTATGTGGATAGTGACGGTGCAAGGGTGAAGGGGCGGTACTTCTCTGTGGGGTGAGACAGACGGGCTGGACGTCAGATTGTATTTTTAGCAACCCCGCCTTGGCGAAAGACGACCACAGCCAATGGTTTTTTGTGCTTCTCGAGTTCGCGCTTCTGTGAGGGTTGTCGCGCGCGTGTGTGTGGTGGCTTTGCGCGTTGTGCTTTTTATGAAACGCGCAAAATGCCACATAAGCGATATAGCACCCCGGTCCTAGTAATGTGTTGGATGAAGTTTGGCAGGCGTCCTTGATTCATTTCGGTTGGAGAATTTCCTGTCCTCGGTGCCCTCTCGCGCCCTGCGGTTCTACCTCCCGGATTGGTCTCGTCCGGGTCCGAGCACGTGACACTGTTTCCAGCGACATTGGTGGAACTGCCGCTCCGCAAGTATACGCCTCAGGTTGGGTCATCAGCGGACGTTCTGTACGTCAATTGACGTGCCCTCGACGTGAATATGTTGGGTAGCGCCTACGTGCGATTTTCTTCCCAGCATATCAGACGCAGGGGGTGGGGATATCTCTGTCGCTGACGTGACGTCTCTCGTGCACATTGTGTTTTTAACAGCTCCAAGCCGGTGTCTGTATTAATGTAGAACATTAACCCCCCCACACCCCCACGCCCACACCCCGGTGTTTCCATCGGGATTGGGTTTTCGTCGCTTGGCAACGACGTTGTAAAAACTCACTTTGTGAACTCGGCAACCAGGTTACCGTTTTGTTTTTTTTCCTCTGTTTTTTTTTTGGCGGTAACCATACTGGTGGTCGAGTAGATCATGTTGTGTGGGGTGGAGAAGCCCCACTCCGCGCAAGGGGGATGATCGCACCACGTTGTGTTCAAATGGTCAAGCACGTTCGAGGCAGTTACACCGTGCTTACAACTGTCTCTGTAAGTGAAGCACCAGAAAATGATTAAGTCATACGCAGCTCTCATCCGTATGCAAGGAAGTAAGCACAAGATGCCGAACACCCTTAGCAGGATGCAGCGCACCCTTCATGCGACTCGCCGAATATCTCACGGAGCTTCGCGCTTGGTGATGTGAGAGCCTGGTCCGGTGAGAAACCGGCNCCCCCCGGTACAGAGTGTTTGCTCATTTCATGAATAAACTGGAGTGAATCGACAGTCTAACAGTATTTGGTGCTCCTGTGCGTGTTCTCCTTCTGCGAAACAGGTCAGGGAGCACGTACGCGTACAGTGTCCTGGATGAAGGGTACCGGGACGGCATGTCTCTGGAAGAAGCCGCCGATCTCGCCAAGAGGGCGGTTCGTCACGCCACCTATAGGGACGCGTTTTCAGGTGAGGTTCAACATCGAGCAGCTCTTGCAGTGGAAGGGTCGATGAGCGGAGGATTTCGGTATTCACCGCGGTGGCCCCTGTAAGCTGAATGACTCCGGTCACCCTGTAAATGGCTTGATCGTGAAACCGCGTGGAACAGATAGTATATTCAAGTTGTTTCATACTCTCAATATTTACGGGTACCTTTTAAACGGTTAGCCGATCCCCTTGGCATCATACTGCCTTATACCGGGACCACTTGCAGTGGAAGGGTCGATGAGCGGAGGATTTCGGTATTCACCGCAGTGGCCCCTGTATAGCGTGAATGACTCCGGTCGCCCTGTAAATGGCTTGATCGTGAAACCGCGTGGAACAGATAGTATATTCAAGTTGTTTCATACTCTCAATATTTACGGGTACCTTTTAAACGGTTAGCCGATCCCCTTGGCATCATACTGCCTTATTCCGGGACCACGGTTGCGGGGGTCGATGCCAGTGGTCGTCCACTCGCACTGCACTCGACCTCTCATGAAGCACATACAATTGTATGTGCTTCTAAGTATCTAGCTCGGCGATGGCCATCGGGGTTGGCTGATGGGGGTGGGAACACACGCTTGGCCAATCAGCGGGTGGTTTTGCTGCTCTCCCATGCGCTACCCTCCCACAGAGATACTATGCAATAGTATAGCAACTTACGCCTGCGGGTGGCAAAAGTGTTCGGGGCTTCGGGGCTGCGCCGAATTTCGCATTAAAGGGCGCGGAGCGTCGAAATTGTTTTGGGGTATAGCTTCAATTTCGGGGCAAAGCCGCCAACGCAGTTAGGACGGCCGCCGAAGAAAATATTCAATCTTGCCGGACTTTCGGCGCACAATCCTGCGGAACCCCGGAAAAATTCCAAAATTTCAAAACGAGAGTGGCCGCGAGTGGAGTAGATTGCTGGCTACTTGCTTCTTCTTGGAGGATGGACCAGCTGATCTGGAGGATAGATCAGATATACATAGAGTGGCACGTGCACGTGCAGCCTGTAGCCTGAAGCCTCCAGGTTGGTAAGCGCTGTGCTGCACAACAGGGAATTTCCCTTCGTTCGCAAAAATATGAATAAAAATAATCTTGCTGATTTGCGTCTTCTTCTGTAAAATAAAGTTGTAACATCTCAAATTTACACGTAGGCACGCGTTTGTTTGGATGTTTGTTTTTATTCGTTGAAATGTCAGCTGGTATGGCTTGTGCTCCAATATGCAGACGCGCACTGACCGGCACCTACGGCTACCCACGACATTTGTAAACAAGACTAAGTAAATACAGAGTATAACGGGAACGACATAATATCGATGAGTCAGCAATTCAAATTAGCGCCAGCAAGTGACGTCGATGACTCATACTACCCTAAATGTTTTGCCTTCGGGGGACCCTCCGAGGGAGACCTCCGGCGGCTCCTGCCGAGGGCTTCGGCGCCCGCGGCGGCCCCCCGAAAGCCTCCGGCTCATTCGGCGCGAACGCGCCGAACAAGTCTGCGCTAATTTTCCCACCCTGAACTTCTACCACCTCCTGGTAATTTATTTCGCAGACCTTGAGGATATGGTTTGTGTTCGCGTCGTCGTCTACTGTTCCCTCTTTTGTTCAGTTTTCTTTGCAATTTTCCAATGACACCGAACTATTTTTGATTCGTAGCCCTCGAGAATTTTGTTTCCGTTCGCGTCGTCGTCTGCTGTTGTTACTCATTCAAACCGAAACAGGCGGTTTCATCAACGTTTTCGTAGTCGACGCTTCTGGCTGGACACGGTTGAACGTCGACGACTCGGGCTTCTTGGACTTGACACAACCCTCTGATGCCACTCCCGACCCCACAGGGCGGGAGGAGCGATAGGGGTGTGCGGATGGTGACCGCGGTGAAGTTGTAAGCGGACCCCCCTGGGAATGCCAAGTGATAGGAGGCAGAATGAGCCTTCTTGGCAAGAATCAGGAAGGAGATGCAACTCGTGGCCTATGTCATCACGAGTTTGTTAAGATTGTGATTGGCAGGGATGAGGGCTTCATGGGCGTACCTGTGACGGATGATTGCTCGACCCCCCAACGTGATGCTGTTGAGGTTGGGTGGACATGAACTTTGTTAGGGTACCCGGTGGTGAATGCGAAGAGGGCACCCGCGCCCCTACCTACATGCAGCAACGGTGTAAGCACCAGCCTGTCGTCCTCCATGACGAAGTGGCCAAAATATTACCATGTTATGATGTGCTCATGGCAGCGGCATTTTTTTGGCCTAAAAAGGCTCTCTACCGGCGATCGTGGCTTCGATTCACAACTGATGTACCTTTTGCCAGATATTTTTTTTTAGTTTCACTCTCTATTTGGCTTGGTTAACTGCTCTAGGTGTCTTGGAGGCGAGTTTTCGTGTTTTTGTGGCATGTACAGCTGCACGTTGCCTTCGCCCCTGGAGTGGCATGTTAGCCAGGGATCTGCATTCCGGGTGACCGCATCACTTAAGTAGGTGCCCGCAGTTTTGATTGGCCATTCTTCTTTACGGAGGGTTCTGATTGGACAAGAAATCCATGGTTTCACGCTTGAAACGGCCTGGCAATGTGACTCACAGCAGTCCCAACCCCCAGCGTATTGTTTGTGTGTGTCCAGGCACAAAGAAAACTGCCATTGCTAATGTCTGCCGTAGAGGCTCAAGTAATCATTTTTTCAGTGTGATCCTGGCCCTGCTCTCCAGAGGACGACTACAGCATATTGGCATCTAAGATTTCGTCCCTTTTCATGCTTCAGCATTCTTCCCCTCGCGGTGATGAGTGGTTTGTCGCGATTCCTTCTCAGGGGCACGCACGAGGCCGGTCGATACATTTAACAGTCGTGCCCGGACCTCGGTAGGCCTCCGTGGCGCGTGTGGTGAACGGTCAAATTTGGGAATAATGGCTCAATACCCCGGGGGTGCGTTCCGCGCAGGCAAAGCCTGGCGAACCAGTTCTGAAACCCATCAACATCGACACACGTCTACATGTGCTGCAGCTGTAACCCCGGCGGAGGTGGTGGTCGAATCCAAGCACGTCTACATGTAGACCAAAAGAAACGCCCCGGGAGACTCACGCTCCCCTCTGCCCGCGAAAGCAGGCCCCTTTCGCGCTGCTCATCTTCCTCGTTGTTTGACTCCCGCCGGCTCCATGAATGTCCCCGGCGCAGACAAGCCATCGAACTCCTTCTCCTCCGCATGTGCCCAGACGCGTTTGTGAGCCCAGAATCCGCTTGCGCGTAGGTGGCCGGTGTCCCTAGGTCACATGCCGTTTCTGTAGGAAGGGGCGGTGCCGGACGGACCTCGTCGCGAAGGTCGTCAATGGTTCGCGCTTCCGTCGCAAGCAGAGCTAAAGTCTCCAAGACCCGAGTGGCGTTTGGTGCTGGATCTGGTACCGGCAGGCGTGACCTTGTACTCTTATCCCGCTGCCGCTGCGTGCCCACACCCATATCCTGATCATGCACCATGCAGTCCCAGTTTTCCCCCAGCGGCGGTGCCGCCGCGTCGTTCGACTCCCTCGAAACTCCATGCCCGATCCGCCATATCTCATCCCCAATCCTACGCGATCCGCCTTGCCACGCGCCGCGACCAGTTGTCTCTCCCGCCGATGCTCCGAAAGAAACACGATCGCCGGTCGCCGCCGCTGCACCGACGCCGCCCCGCCGCTCCGCCTGGCGCGCCCAGCCGTTCTTTCCGCCACCGCAAAAGAAACCCGGCCGCTACGCGCCTCCACTGGCGGCGTCGGCGCCCGACCGCTGCGAACGGAGCGCCCAGCCGTATCCTTTACCGACGGCGCAAAAGAAACACGACCGCTAGGCGCCTCCACTGCAAGCGAAGATGGCATTGCTCCCGAATCCCCGGCGGCATCACCTCGGCCGGGGGAAGATGACGAAGCCGTGGCGCCAGTATCCCCGGCGGCAACAAGACGAAGGCGTTACCCCGGCGGTATGTCCGCTGCCAGGGGGTGACGACGTATCGTGTTGGGTAGCGGGTGCTTAGCGTCAGAGGCTGTGGAAAACAGATGGACTCAAGACCTTTGGGTCAACGAGATCAACGAGTGAACAGCAAGGCAAGCAAGCCCTGCATACCAGAAGGGGCTCCGCCCTCCCTTCCCGTGGAACACACCCACATGTACATAACTAAAACCCCCATAGATCTCCGTAGATCCGTATCTAGACTACACGTTGCTGAGTACCCCCAACAACGTTGTCGTGGTCCCACCCTTCCGTCATTGCAACAGTCTCACACTTGACCCAAGAAGACGTGATTCCACCCTACGTGACTTGCTTCATCCGACGCGGTACCGGCTCCTACAGTCCCGCACAGGCGATTTTTTTGCCCTTTTTTCGGCGTTAGGGACTTTCTGTTTGGGGGGGGGGGCGGGGGGGGGGG